AAAAAATTAATAATATTTTAATAATTTTTAAATTTTTTAATTTTAATATTAAATTTAATTATTTTAATTAAAAATCTTTTAAAATTCTAATTTTAATTAAAAATCTTTTAAAATTCTAATTTTAATTTAATTTTTATAATATAGTTTAATTCTTAATATATAATAATAAATAAATTTAATCTTAATATTTTAATATAATAAGAATTTATTTCTTTTTATTATTAAAATTAATCTTTAAAAATTAATTAAAGTTTTTATAAGTTATATTTCTTATAAAGAAAGATCTAGATTTAGATTAATACTAATAGCTATTATTATACTACTACTGCTTTTAATAGGTTTAAATAATATAATAGATATAATTTTCTCTAGAAGTAAGCTAAAACTATTAACCTCTAGGAATTACTTTTTTAGATAGTTTTATTAATAAATAGTATTATTTTCTTAGAGTATTTTAGCTACTAGTAGATAGCTAGTACTTATTATATAGATCAGAATACTATTATCTAGTTAGAAAAGTGATAAAGTCTCCTATAATTTTATAAAGACCAGTTGAGGATTATTAGCTAGTATATACTAGTATTCTAAAAGATACTAATATCAGCTGGAACTCCCCGCTCAGCTGTACTATAAGATATACTTATAAGAGGGAGGGTTAATTTGTATTAAAGTGTTTATTCCAGGCAGCTGCAGTTCTCAAGCCAATTAATATATTATTCTGCTTCATTATAGCGGATATAAATAAATATACCCGCCTGACAGAACTCTATATTACAGCGTGTTTGTCCTATCTCAAGATTCAGCAGCGATCTTGCGATGCAGATGGTGCTTGCCCTCTTAAAATCCTTCCATGCACGACGCAGGGGCTGTCAGCGCGGGTTAACTTTGCATTCCACTTGCCCCTTGAGTGTGCGAAAGTCCTCCCAGCATGCCGATCAGCCAGGGATCTCTCACGCACACGCACCCCAGCTCTGGACAGCTGCGCCTGACAATGAGCCCTTTATCTCGCTTTCCAAGCCTTAGGTGTTGGTTTTTGCAGAGCACGCCATGCCGCATCCCAGTCAAGACCACCAAAGAGAGGGAAATTGGTATCCAGTGCGTGTGTATGCGTGCGTTGCAGCAGTGCTTGCATGTGTGGCAGGTCCGGAGCAGCACCTAACCAGATGCCTGCCATTACATTACGTCTTCAATTCACTCCAGCTGCAGCACTGTCGTAATTCTGCGCGCGGGATGTTTTTCCGCTGTCGCAATTGCAACGCAAACCCGCCTGGTCTCCCCCTCAGCTGAGCGGAACCCTTGTATTCCAGCGCCTGGATGTCTTAGCTGTGATAAAACACGTTTCTGTCTCTTTCTGGCGGACAAGTTGAACATTCCATCACATCCCATCACCCGCTTCCGCCCCCCGCTCCAATCCAACCCTGCGACATTATCTCACTGGGTGGTCGGTCACCTGTTCTATCTGTCTTGATTCATTCACCATGCTCCTCCAGCACACCCTCCTAGCCGTTGCAACGCTCCTGGCGTCAGCTCCCCTGCCAATCCTAGCGCAGGACAAGCCCTCCACCCTATCCGCCAGCCGCAAACTCACGGCGCAGCAGGTCATCGACGAGCTCGGCCTAGAGCCCAACATCGAGAAGGGCTGGTGGACTGAGACCTTCCGCGATGCTGAGTTATACGGCAACCGCTCCGTCTCGACGGCCATCTACTACCTGCTCGAGGCGAAAGACGCCCGCAGCTACTGGCACCGCGTCGACAAGACCGAGGTCTGGCACTACTACGCGGGCACGCCCATGAGCTTGTACCTATCTAGCGACGACGGGCAGCCGGTCAGGGAGCATGTCCTCGGGCCCGATGTGCTGCGTGGGCAGCGCCCGCAGGTCGTTATCGCGCCGTGGGAGTGGCAGCAGGCCCGGAGCCACGGCGGGAAGCACGACTGGACCCTTGTGGGCACTACTGGTACGTTTTGGCTTGTTTCCCTTATCTTGGGGATTTCGCATCGCGTCGCACTTCGACTCACGCTTCACTCACTAGTCGCGCCGGGCTTCGTTCCCGAAGGATTCGAGCTGGCGCCGCCGGACTGGAAGCCAGATGGTGCCTGAGGGTGCCAGAGCGTTGGAACTGAGAGATGAGGCAGACCAGACGGTTTGTCACTGATCACGCGAGGGACAGGACTGTACAGTAAACATGGATATCATGACCTTCGTCGCGTAGTGTTACATCTGCCGCCGAGAGTAAATAAATGTACAATTTAATCCCCGTTCGTCCGATGCAAACCTGTCTATCAGCGACGCTTCGTCGCGTCCCAAGGCTCTGTCGGTGCTCCAAACAGGCGTCCGTCATTCTCCGTGACGGGCCTCTCCGACACCGAGCTCTGCCCCTCGAAGCTCTGCATCGCCGACAGCTTGTGGCTGTCCCTGCCGTGCATGTTCTCCAGGTCGATCGCCTCGCTCTGCATCTGCGGCTCGTCCTCGACAATCTCAGGCGTGATGAGGTTCGGCGAGCGCACCCCTCCCCTGCTCTTCGACGACGCCACGACCTTGGACGCCGTGACGCTGATGCTCCCTCCGCGCGCGTGGCCACTCCCTCCTCCCCCGCTGTTCGGATGGCTATTGTACCGCGCGTGCTGCGTGCCGCGCGCCGCCCACAGGCTCTCGATGAGCCGGTTGAGCACGAGGAACTCGACCTTGAGCTTGACGCCGTACACGCACGGCTTGAAGGCGCCCTGCAGGTAGAACAGGTGGTCGCCGCCGTACTGGATGCCGAGCAGGGCGATGTCGAGCGCGATGATGAGCAGGTTGGCCAGCACCAGATGCCAGAGCACGCGGTTCTTGGCGCGCTCGGCCGGCGTGGTGAGCGTGCTCGCGTGCCGGTCGGAGGACAGCGAGGGCCGGGCGGCGAAGAAGGAGCTGAAGTCGATGGACTTGCGGGTCTCGTAGATGTATAGGAGGCTCAGGGCGGTCTCCTGGACGAAGAAGACGGTGAGCTGGACGCGGTCCCAGATGATGTTCCTGTCGGCCAGGGCGGGATTGATGTCGGTGGCTTGCTGTAGATGGGGGTCAGTGAGAACATGTACACGGGGTGCGGATATGAGAGAGGTAGGCAAGAATGTACTGCAATGATGCCCACGACAATCGTCGGGACGGAAAACACGATCGAGTTGAAGATCAGCGCCCACCGGATGTACCGCAGTAGCCGCTGGTTGAGCACGATGAGGTGCAGCCGCGAGTACAGCACCCAGCTCTGCGGGACGACCATGATGAACCACGACAGGTAGATCATGGTGACGGCGCCGAGGAAGTTCTTCCACAGGCCAAAGTCGGCGAGGATGATGAAGAGCGTCTGCAGGATGATGCCCCAGGACACGAGCGCGCACGACCAGAAGTACAGGCCCTTGCGCCGCTTGAACATCATGAAGAGCGATATGTTGATCTCCAGCCCGATGTACCAGGCCACGCCCGCAAAGGCGGCCATGGTCATGGACATGGGGAGGTCGTCGCGGATGTCATCCATGGCGATGTGTTAGGGATGGGTCGACTATGCATCGCTCATGACCTACGAAGGAGGGATAAAAAGAGGAAATCAAAAAGGAAAAGCAACGGGATGCAGCGAGGATAAATGACAGCACACAAGTGACAGGAATAGTAATATGACAGCAGCAGCGGCGGCGGATGGATGGGGAGGGGACAGCAGTTCTGCACGCCCGCCAATCTCAAGCGAGTCGAGGGATCGATTTTTATCGAGCAAAGTATATACTCGCAGTTACAGCGGCCATCCTTGCCTATCACAGCAGGAATTGTCTCTCAATTGTGCGGTATGCACGCCCGTATCAGCAGGACGAATATACGTACTCTGTACACACAGTAGTTTTAGCAGCTGCTGTGCCCCCCCCTCCTCCGTTCCGTTCCCTCTGCTCATCCCACCCTAGGCTCCCATCCTTCCTGCGCCATCTCGAAGCTGTCGAACTTGAACGCGGGCGCAACGGTGCACCCAACCAGCGACCACTCGCCTAGGCTCTGCGCGTGCTGCCACTCGCCCGGCTGCACGACGGCCTGGGGCCGCTGCCCGTCCCAGAGGTCGTTGCCCAGAATCACGTCCCGGACGGCCTGCCCGTCGTCGAGCGACAGTGACAGCCGCAGCGGCGCGCCTGCGTAGTGGTGCCAGGTCTCGGTGGCGTCCAGCACGCGGTGCCAGTGCGAGAGCCCCTCCTCGCCCTTGAGCAGGTAGTAGATGGCCGTGCCGGACTCGTTGCGCGACGTCTCGATGTAGAAGCCTTTCTCCGGGTGTGGCGTGAGTTTGAGCGCGGCGATCACGTCTTCCGCCGTCTTGGACTGGAGGGAGGCCATGGCTGTGCTGCTTCGGGATGTGCGGACGGGATTTGTTCTGATGAATGGAATGTGTGCGGCTGATTTTTTACTGGCTGTTCTTCTGTCAAGGATAAAGATAAGCAGAGCAAATTGGAAGCGAGTTTATTCGTCGCTATACTATATATATATGAAGTTAGGGACGTAAGAGAAAAGGCACCTGAGTTTAAAAGCTAATATGTGTGTGGCAGGTCTTCTCTGGTCCCCTATTTGGCCCTTATCAGCACTGTTTAGGTGGTATCTCGGGGTTCCATCCTGGGCTGTTCTAGTGCGTGTTGGTAGGTAGTGAGTGAGGTTAGAATACGACCCTGGTCATCGATCATTCCCTATTTCCCTGCCCCCTTGATGTGTTGATGGGTAGATGCTTGGGTTAGTATTATAGTTGTTATTGCCGATATTTCTACGCCCTATGCGCGTTTAGGTCTACGGAGCTTCTGGGAAGCTTTTTTGAGCATGATTTGGGAGAATATTCCCTGGAAAAGGAAGCCTGTGGAAGCAATATGCTCAGTGCGCGTTACAGTGGCACGGTGCGCTGTGGCCCTACCTACATACGCCATCGACTGGCAGATCGTCCAGGGTGTGTTAATGGCGCCTATGTATGTATTCCGTCTGTCCTGTGTTGCACTTGCTTCCCTGTGATTACTTCTTTCGTCCTTCCTCCTTGTGAGGTGCGCCCAGACTCTTCCATGGATTTCCAGCTGCCCTCCTCTTCGTCCATCCTCATGGAATGAATGCCTCGCTCCTTGTAACTGTATCCCCGCCTCCACCATACCAATCGCCAGCGCACATCAAGCCATCCGTAAGACATGTCCACTTTCCTCCCCCGAGCAGCAGTCAACTATACATAGGAGCAGCTCAGAATGGCGGACTTGGCGATCGGCAGTAATGATGGCAATCAAGAAGTGGAATGGGATAGAGTGTATTATACAGAACCTAATCACAACTGCACCGTGTAATACTACAGCCGTCCGTTGATATGGGACGGCGGCACAAGATAGAGACTGACATATCGGCGGGCTATTACCAGCCTGTCAAAAGTGACGTATGCGTGTTCATTTGCTGACAGCGTTCCACCCGGACGCCACGTCAAGAACGCCTTGGGCAAAATAAGGCGTATTGCCTTGCAGATTGGTTCGCAATCCTCCTGACCAATGGGCTGGAGAAAAGGTTGTCGTGTATGGAGAGAAATGAATCCCCGCACTCAACCCCTCAATTTCCAACCCAGCGCGGCTTCTCAGCATCGGGCTTCTTTAAGAAGCCAGAAAAGCTGGCGAAGAACCTCAAGAGATATTGCAAGAACCATAACCTTCGCATGTGCAGTCTTGAGATGCGCAATGACGAGTACATCGTCCTGGTCGAGCGACTGAACCGGCCACAGTTACTGCCTGTCGCGGTATAGCCAAGTGCGAACCACCACACAACTCCTTCATTTCCTGATTTCTGACCTTGAGCTAGACTTTACAATGGGAGTTTGGGGGCGGACACAAAGGCGGAACAAACGGGTCACATCTATCGAATAAAATTTTCCATGAGCAAATCGGAGTTTGGAGCGCAAGGCGGAACACAAGGATCATATCTATCGAATCAGAACTTTCAATAAAAACCAACAACTACTCAGGCTGTGCATGCATGCCAAGGTGTGATAGGAGTGACTAGCTGCATGTGCTTTGCATCTCGAGTAGGACGTGGCCATTTATATCCCTTCTCCGTGCAGAGTTGTAGGCCTTAGAAGGAATGCCCAAGACAAGCCACATGATGAAGAAAATGCACAGTCGGGTCACTGAGCCCGCCCCCGGCGCTTCCTGGTGGGATGTGCCTCACCAACCATCTACCACCCTTCAGGGGCTGAAAGTTGCACCCTAGGCTCATACCTGCATCCAATGTTACTTTCTGATTCTTCCGACTGAAGCAGCGCCTTGCCGCCGCCTCTCGGGAGAATAATCATAATAACTCAGCTACACCTGATGCCAAGTCGCCCGTGGTAGTAGGGTGAAATAGGCAGTTAAGATAACCTAAGGAGGATGGTTGACAAATACGACCGCTAGTACCTTTGCATGAGAATAAAGACTTGGAAACCATCTACCGTAGTGGAATTACTGACCCAAAGGGATCTACAAGGTGAGATACTGATTATAGCACCTGCAAGGCGTATTGGATCGTTCGGTCGTCTTCCAATCTTACATCCGACGCAGGCATCCACACTGCGGCGACCCCAAAGGTGCACTTCAGGTTTTATGCTTTCAGCTCTGCGCAGCCTCTAGTCAGCAGGGCCACAGTCTATGGAGGCTGAAATACACACTGGGGGGGGGGGGAGAACACTGCCGACGGCAGATTGTTGGGCTGAGAGCTTAGTCACTGGCCAGCGATCAATGCTCTTGAATGTGCCCTTGTCCGAGTATTTGATAGAAATACTTGTTGTGCGTCTAGTGATTTCTATTTTCCTCACCAAACACTTGGCATCTTGTGCTCTTGTACATAGCCAGGAACCTCTCACATCTTTGAAAGTTTCTTAGCGCAACAAGAGCAATGTCGCCTCACCAGTCCACAGTGGCTGACAACTTGCCTGCCTAGATAGACTATAGGGCCATCAAAAGAAGGTGCTTCAACTTTGACCAACTCTACCCAAGTTTCGTTCCCGATACCGCCATAGATGATTTGACCACTAGGGAGAAGGTGATGCAGACTTTGGAGGCTTCTGATAGTCGGAGTATCTCTGAAAATCTCGATCGCCTGATCCTCTATGTGACAAAAAATGCAAGAAAGGTGTTCCTCGCCCTTATTTTCAACGGCCGCCTGGATCTTCTCCCAGTCTTCCAGGTGAATGGTCTCGAAGAGACCTACGACCTACATCCCCTCCAGCCACTGCCGTACACTACTCCAGCCACGTCGAGTGAGACTGGGGGCTTCAGCACGGTCCAGAAGACCATTTTGCACAAGGATCATTACTCAATGCCGGGAGGCGATTCCAATATAGGTCATTGACATTTTATCATGAGCTTAAGATAGCAGCCAGACTAATGAGCCTCTCCAGTATCGCGTGTCCCCATCCGATATGGAAGTTGCAGTGAAGACATTGCATGCCCGAGACCATTCCGCGATGATCGATGTGAAGAAGTTCTACAAACGACAAACCGACACCTTGAAAAAGATGGCCAGCCTCAACCACGCTAACTTGATCTCGGCCATTACAGCCTACACGAAGGAAGATGAGCATTGCTTTGTCTTCCCGTGGGCTCACGGGGGCAACCTTTGCAAATTCTGGCAAGAGTATAAGGGCCCACGGGGCAGTGACTTGACCAAATGGGCTCTCTCGCAAATCATCGGCCTCACGACAGGCCTGGAAATGCTCCACAAAGACAACGTCCGGCACGGCGACGTCAAGCCGCAGAACATTCTCCATTTCTGCACGGGCGATAGGACCGAGTCGCTTGGGACGCTGGTCCTCGCCGATGTCGGTCTCGCCAAGTTCCACGTGGATCACACCCGCGACCGGGAACAGATCACCAGTACTAGGCATGGTACCGTCGACTATGAGCCGCCGGAGCCCCTAAATCAGCAAATCTCGCGGTACTACGATAACTGGTCGCTGGGCTGTGTCATCTTGGAGTTTGTGATCTGGCTCCTCTACCGTTCTGACGGCCTCGACAGCTTTCACAAGGACCTTAAGGGTGACAATAAGCACAAGAGATTTTGGGCACCTGTGCTGGGAACCAAGAAAGATCTTCATCCGAAGGTTCGTCTCTGGATCAGCAAGGTCAAGGAGGATTCACACAGCGACTCTGTTGTCTGGCAACTGGCCGATTTAGCCAAGACAAGTCTGCTTGTTGATATCGATCGTCGCACCGAGGAGAACCAAAATATGATAAAAAAACTCAAAACTATCGAAACTCATTTCCAAGGGCGCAACAGCGATGAATGGGAATTTCCAGGTGCGGCCTCCTCGGGAGGGCCTTACCCAGACAACCCGCCAGAAGAACCAGCTAACAATTTTTCAAAAGAAGTAAGTACAAGTTAAAACAGAAATAACCCCGGACTATTCGAGTATATACTTACTAACTCGTCACAGTATGTAAGTAGCTGATTTCGTTACCTCTCCTAGTTTCGAAACTGACGCAATGCGGCCCGGCTTTGTAGAATGTAAGTGACTCTGGCCCTTCTTATCTTGAATAATTGACTAATACTTTGCAGCCAGTAAGTTCAAAGAATCACGAAAGGATGATAGTCAGCTGCTGAGAATAACAGCGTACAAGTAAGCTCAACGACGAATGGCGACTTGTTACCAACAAAGACTTGGCAAAAGGATTCTTGTCGGCCATCGATTGGCCCTCTCTTCGCCCTCCTCCGGCCAAACTTGGCTTCTGCCACCAGTGCTAAAATATCGACTTCCAAGCCCCGGCATGGAATCTACATGGAGACATTGACGGCTTAAAACGTGGGTCCGACAAGTGTGAAATGTGCCGTTTTTGGGTCCATTGTCTCCCTGCCACAAACCTCAAGAGCGGGGAGTTGGTCACTTCCATCGAGATGACAACTTTCATGCCCTCCGCCTCTCTCTGCAAGGCCCCAGAGTTATCACTGCTTACTCTGATCCAGGTATAGACTACTTCTCTAACCCCTTGACTGCCAGGCGAGCTAACATACTTTGTAGAGCCAGATGATGACCATCAGCCACCCACGGCGGTTGGGCTTCCGATCCTTCCCACTATAGCCAGCACTCAGCAATTCAACTTACTCAAGGAGTGGATTCGGATTTGTGACGATAGCCATGATTGCATCTCGGCTCCTGAAAACCTCAGAGATGCTGTAAACGGTATGCCCACGAGAGTCCTGTTCGTCGGGAAAGATAAGAACTCGACAATCCGCCTCGTCGACTCCAGCGATCTGCCACAGCAACATTATGTTGCCCTCAGCCATCGCTGGGGTGACCTCAAGGAGCACGAAAAGCTCTGCACACTTGAAGAGAAAATTGACCAGGATGGGAATATTGAGCAGGATGGGAATGTTAACCAGTTTAGACTTGAGGTCCCGTTCACGTTTCTCCCAAAGAATTTCCAGGATGCAGTAACGGTCACCCGAGCCATTGGCGTACAATGTCTCTGGATAGACTCACTGTGCATCATTCAGAACAGTGCCTTAGACTGGGAGGCAGAATCCGTCAGGATGGAGGACGTGTATAGCGAGGCGTATTGCTTCCTGGCCGCCACCTCTGCCTCCTTCTCGGCCGTGGGATTTCTCAACGAGAGAGAGCCACGGCCTTGTGTCACTGTTACAACGCCGGGGGGGCCGCTGTACCTGTCCAAAGCGATTGACAACTTCCAGGAGGATGTCTCTGAAGGTCTCTTGAACACTCGCGGCTGGGTGTTTCAAGAGAGGGCACTTGCCCGTCGGACCATTCACTTCACCTCGACTCAGATATATTGGGAGTGTGGAAAGGCCATTCACTGTGAGATGCTGGCGCAGCTCGAAAAGTAAGTTTTGTTTTACGAACGTCATCAACCAGTTGCTCCTTTGGTCCATCTAACAATTTTGTACACGTCAGCCCCAGTCTCAGTTCCTCGCCGACGCCCATTTCCCCCGATCTGGCTTGCTCTACTACAAGGACGAGCGAATCCGACTCGTTCAGCACCTCTACGAGATCTACAGCGCACTCAACCTGACAAGAATCAAAGATCGGCCCATCGCTATCTTGGGAATCGAGACGAGACTCGCTCGCGTGTTCGAGACCAATGCCAAACTCGGCGTTATTGGCAAATTCCTCCTCAGGATGCTCCTCTGGCACGCAGCCAAAAAGTAAGGCCTTGCACCGATCCCCGAGCCAGCTACCGGCCGCGTGCCCTCGTGGTCGTGGATGTCTTATGCAGGAGAGATCAAGTACATCGATATCCCATTCTCCTCTGTAGGCTGGCTGGAGAAATTGCCAAACCCCTACGCGATGCCAGACTACGACGACTCCTGGGACGGGGCAATGTCTGCCGAAGCAAACGAGCTGCTGGCGGACACCATTGAGGAGATGACTGGCATCACGCTTGACTGTCCTGGCAGGCACTACGATCGCGGTACCTGGAGGTGTGTCTTGCTCGGCAGAAAGAAGGACCTGGATCCAGAGGTGGGATTTTATTACTACGTGTTGTTGGTGCGCCCTTTGGTAGGTAAACAAGTGGGCTGCTACGAAAGGGTTGGGGTGGGTGTAGTCAATAGCACTTATGTGTCATTATCTGCCATTCCTGTTTGGATTTTCTAATTCGTCGCACGACGCTGTATTCCTAACGGATACAGGTTTCTAGCGGTTTGCTTATTTTAATATTGTCTTATTCAAATATAATCCCCCGCGATGCTCTCAACGTCTTTATCCCCCCTCTGCTTTCTCAGAAGTAATTTGAATATTATTTATCGATATCTATTAAGAGTATATCTATTTAAAATTGAAAGTTATATAGTTTAAAAATTCTAACCTGTGAAAGATCTAGTCCACAACTAATATTTAGACCGCGCTTGGCTTCATACCAAGCTCTACATAACCTGATGGCGGCGTGGCTGGGTTCGCCATTCTGATATTGATATTGGTCGTGGCACTAGAGGAAGCGTAGAAGTTCGTGATCAAAGGGAAGCCGTCTACCGCACATGACAAGGCTTGGTTCACAAAAGCACCAGTGCATGCAATCTTTCTCAGGGTGGGTCTGGCTGTCAGGGAAGTCTGGTCCTGCAGGTAGATTGAACTAGTGCTCGTGAAGTAAGCTACGTAGAAGTTGCCCGTCTTGAGGAAGCCTGTAGAAGCCTCTAGGTAGTATGAGCTGGTAGAGTATGTTGCACCCGTGGGGTTGATGTACACGATCTGGTTGTTCTGGCCACTGTTTTGGATCGTGTGGCCATTGGCGGAATTTTGCGAGGTAGAAGCAACAAGAGTGAACGTAGAAACGGGGACTGGGGCAGCTGACGTGGTGGAGGGCAAGACCGATGTAGACGAAGCAACAGTCGAGGCCGCAGTGGTACTAACTTCTGGACTCGTCGAGGCAATGGAGGAAACCTCTGTTGAGCTGGCCACGATTGTTGTGGAAGGAGTTGTGGATACCTCAGGAGTCGTGGCGGCAAATGAGGAAGCCTCCGTTGAGCCAACAGGAGTGCTCTCCGGAGTAGCGGTTGCAGATAAACCACTTGATGGGGTAGCGGATAGAGGAGTAGTAGACAGGCTGCTAGAAAGAGTGGCCGACTCCGAAGGGGTCTCAGTAGAACTGCTTGAAGGGGTTGACTCGGTCCGAGTCAAGGTGATAAGAGTACTCTGCGAAGGCAAAACCACAGGCGTAGAGATTGAAAATGTAGAGAGCGAAGGGGTAGAAAAGCTGCTGGGCGAGACGATTGTTGACTCGGGCGATGTCGCAGCCGCGGAGGTTCCGATGCTGCTGGTAGTTCTAGTGCGGCAGCTGCGCGCTGTGCCGAGCGAGGCGATAGCAAGAACGCTGAGACCAGCGGGAAGGAAACGCATAATGAATCAACTCTGCAAAAGAGTGTATCAGAGTGGAAATAGCGAGTGACTGAAGGTGAGTGTTGAACGATAAGACAAAATAGTCAGTGAAAGGAGAGGAGGGAAGGTGAGTCGTCGAAATTGAAATTCTTATGTGGGAGTCTACTTTGATTAGTTAGCCTTGGATTACTACATATCGCATCTTCTGGCTTGCGATTGGTACTCAGTGAAGCAATAGTCTGGTTTTAGTAGAGTAATACTGCAGTAGTTTAATTGCGATCATTCGTATCCTCTATCCTAACCTCGCCGAGTTAGCTCGACGATTCTAGACTGGAGGTTCTTATACTTTTTCCACTAATCCATTTTAGAACCGTTTTAGATAATAAAGATTAGGGCGGAGAACCCGGACGGGGGATAGAAAGCTGGGGAATGGATCTAGAATGACCGGCGATCCTGGCATGTCCGTTCATCCCGCGTCGCACGTGCAAGGTTTTGGAACTTTGGAGACAGCATGAGGGTATCTGGTGCTGAAGGCGGAGCTGGTAGCTGGTAGCTTCTGCCGGTCTTGACGGGTTCTACTGTTTTGTCGACCTAGACTACTTATATAGTGAAGCCACACTATCTCCGTTTTTATTTACTTCCGATACCACATGCGCGACGTCCTTGTGCTCCGAATCTTTCGCTTCAGCTGAAGCATACCGTACATCAAAGCCTCAGCCGTGGGCGGGCAGCCTGGTACATATATATCGACGGGAACAATGCGGTCACAGCCACGCACGACGCTGTAGCTATAGTGGTAATATCCTCCCCCATTAGCGCAGCTACCCATGCTGATAACCCAGCGTGGCTCGGGCATCTGGTCGTACACCTGTCGGAGGGCTGGTGCCATCTTATTAGTAAGTGTACCGGCGACTATCATCACGTCCGATTGTCGCGGTGATGCTCGGAAGAATGTACCGAGTCGGTCCTGGTCGTAGCGTGGTGCCGACAGATGCATCATCTCGATGGCGCAACAGGCTAGGCCGAATGTCATGGGCCACAGAGAACTTTCGCGTGCCCAATTTGCGATCGTATCCAAGGTTGTCCTATGTGGTGTTAATACTTTGGGTTCAGTCATCACCTGATGTTGACAGGAACTATACGTACAGAGCGTAGGACGCGAGGTTGTTGGTGGCTTCTTGAGTTACCAATGGCCATTCCTTGCGATCGGACTTGCCACGCGTCAACAGGACGGCATCTTCAGGTTTTAAGCCAGCCGAATTGACTTTGGCATGGTTCTTTTTAGTATTCGTGGATAGTAGTCGGCTCTGGTTGTGTGGTCGAGTGACTGCGTAGCGAAGTGCTATGATTTGGGGCGACAGGTGTACTCGCTTCGACTTGATGGGTAACATATCGAGTGTTATGGCTCATCGCAGATATCGAAAGCCTTAAAGTCGTCCGTGAGTGGAAGAAGAAAGAAACGAAAACCAAGATAGTGTGAAACGCATGCGAGTGGGAATATAGATAATCGGGGCGTGAAGAACAATCGATGTTGTTACAGACAGGGTATAATATGCGAAGTACGAAATACGAAATGCGAGGAGCGAGCTGCCGTGAGCAAGTATGTCTGTATGAGTCCTAAACTAATCCATTTGAGTCCATAGGTAAACCTGCTATCCACTACTTCCATCCATGTTTTATTCACTGGACTAAGTTCACTGAACCACAAGCTCCTTTGGCACGGAGCGATGCTCCTGGATTACTCAAGAAGAAATATGGATTGAGATCCAAGATCAATTATGCTTTGATCGGAGTCCGCATTGTACAGTCTTGCTGAGATTCCAAAATAACTTCCGATTTTACATAATCTTCTGTTCGAGCATCGCTCTATGCTTTACCATCAATATGTCTTCGTGGCCACTCCAAGAGCTCCCTAAACAGCTCTGCATCCCCAATATGCTTTTCAATATCATTTAGCAGTCTTCGACCCCAGTCTCTTAAAAACCAATACGATTTGTCTAACGTGTGAATGTAAACTGCGTAGTAAGACAGTATCACCAAAGCGAGGGGCTTTCGCTCTCTAGTGTCGGCGATAATACTATCTGGGAGAAAGAAAGGCCACAATAGAACGGCGCCGACCTCGACATTTACATCAGCACAAACTGTTTGAACGGCTGATATTTCAAGTGTAGCAACTGCTTTTTCGTAGTCTGCCTTCTTATAGGCGGGAGTGTGTTCGCACAAAACGTGACGAAGGCAGGAAAGTGCATTGAAAGTGTCACCGGGAAGCACCGATTGCTCAAGGGAGGGCTTGCTAGATAGTAAGAATCAGCTTCAGCGGTCTTGTGTGTTTGGGGGCTAAAGCCTACGGATCTAGAGCACCATCGATTGAAAGCAGCCAAACACTGGTCACTAGTGGTGCCAGTCGTGTATCGTTGAGTTGTGGAATGAATGGCAGCAAGATGCTTCTAATCCCTTTCGTAACAGAGAACAGCTCCAAGACTCTTGATATGGGCGTTGTTTCCGGCTGTGAGTGGCAACTTGGCTGAGTTGAGAGCGTCATGACATAAGCGATGATAATCGTCGCAAAACAGAAGACAGGCTGCCAGTTGGAGCAATTCACATCGGGGAGTAAACTTGTGAACGTCTGCTGACCAATGGAATGGTGAAAGGACGATAGGGTTAGATAGACGTTGCGTTTGTCAGGTATCAGATAAGCCTTATGCAGTGCAGCCAGTGATAGGATACCATGCATAACGAATTCATGAACATAGCCCATTTGGGGAAATACTACCCTCCACACGTGCCGCGCAGATTCTTGACATGCCATGGTGTTACTAGTGACAGTGCAGTAATGGTGCATCAATTCAAGATCTCGTCCCCAGGACTGGCCGAGCTGTGTAATACTCGGGCTATCAAAAGGGCTGAATCCAGGGCTGGACTGATCTCTTGTCTGCTGAAAGCCCTCTGACGACAAATCCAATGGAGGCGAATTAGAGCTTTGTGCTGGGGGCGACCAGATACCGTCTTGCTTCGACTTGTCGGCTGCATAATTGCACTGTACAGAATACCGCGTACAGTTAAAACAAGATGGACGCGTCTCGTCGCACTATAGAAAAGTTCAGCACCACATGCGATACGTATATACTAAAGTCCAATCCAAGACTTACCTTGATCTTGCGGCGCTTACATTCCTTGCATCCTCCACGAGACTTTCGGTGAGGGCGGCGTAAAGTAGGCATAATTAGGGCGAGTGATGCAGATATTGCCCTCAGATGTCAGGGATGATTTGCCGCGCAGCTGTGCTGGAGATCAGGCAAGGTCGTGCGTGGTGTATGAGACGATTTGACATTTGATACTTTGGGATGAAGCTAAGTTGTAGGTCAAAGCGAAATACGAGAAGCGAATACTCGTACTTCGTATTGCTGAATCATACTCCCGAAGCCGGGCCGACCGTTTTAGAAAACGGGGATACTTAACGGAAAATTCTAATATATGTCAGGACGGAGAAGAAAACGGCGCGGTAGGCCCTTGCATTTTGTGGCAAATCAGGAATAGTAGCTGTGGACCTCCTAGCATTTTGCCCCTTTATATCTGTCCAGCTGTCCTCCAATGAATCTGGAAGCTGAAAGTGAGACAGCTCCCTTTAGCAGAGAAGCCAGCTGAGCTCGAACTATTGAGACCCAAGTGGCCCAGCCGCTGCAGGGGAGGGGGGCTTGAATGGTCGGTCTAGACTCCCTGGTGGCTCGATATATCTCTGACCGACGCCACCTAAGCAAGGACAGGGCATCCGGGCCTGATAGATTCTATATATTCACACTGTAGACGGTGCTTGTGCGTGCTGAGCTTCAGCGAGGTCGCCAGACACCCTCACTCCAAGCACGCATTATGTCCCCTCGCCGTCTGGCAAAGTTAATCTCGTCGCCAAGATATCTCACTCTTCGCCATGGACGTGAGATTATCAAAGCTCAAGATGAAGATGCGAAGATCAATACCAAGATCTCCTCGACCGTAACCCTCAACGCTGGCTTCACGAAGCTCTACTCTGCCGATGTACATGGTCTCCGAGCGGGGGCTTACATCATTGGAGCGAGACAGGCCATCAAAGTCTTAACAAATGATCCGTCCCTAGGACAGAAAGTTCCTACCAGCTATCAGAAGTTCGAAGTCCAGGCTCCTTGATCCACCCTCCCGCCCGAGGCGATATACTCCGTCTTTCCGGCACAAGACCACAGCGTGGCGGTTAATTGTCTGCAGCACGTCGCCCTTAACGACCCAGGGCTTGCGTGGGAACGAATTGGAAGCTTCGATAGCAAGGACAACCATCCAGACGATTGAGAGTGAAACCGCACTCCGTGGCTGGCCGTCTTGTCCTTTGCGGAGAACGAGCTAGAGATAGGGTCCGATGAGCTTAGGCAGGTGTTCCAAGGGAAGTCTCTCCGGGATGGAAACCCAAAGCAGACGGAAACCTGGGTCATCTCTGTCCCAAATGAGGGCCTGATGTTTGTCACGCCGGCTACCATTCTGACGCGCACGAGCCAGACGAGACTGGGATCGGAAGCGACTCACACGACGTCTTTGAAGGGGAAAAATCAGAACGGCGGCGACTACATGTTTATCAAGGTCAGTTGGTCCGGGACTAACACCGCCGGTACAAGTTACAGCTGGCAGAACATCTGGATTCCCATCTTTAAGATCCAGCAAACTGGGCAAGACCTCTGAGGCTTGGATCTATTCCGAAAGGACATTTCTCAAGCTAAGGTTATCGACCCAGCCAATGCCCTGTCCCCAAGGGACATCTCGCCGCAGCTCGCCGCCGATCGAACAAATTCGGGTGCACCGGCCATGGTCTGCGTTACGTGTGACTCCATCCTTTTAGGCAAAGGCCAACCAGAGATTGATCGATGCACGATGGTGTGGACAGCTCTTATTTTTACTATAAGTATTTCACTAAGTGTGGAAACGTCTCGATGAATGGCGACCCTAAGCTCCAATTCTCCAAGCGGGAAGCAACACTCGCAAACTCATCACTAACCGAGACCGAGCCCCTGCGGCAAGGTCCGAGCCCGAACACAGGGCATGTCTTGGGACAAGATAGGTAGAGAGACTCGACGTAAATCTTGCTCACTTGTCGATAATCCTGGTTCTGGTTCAGGCATAGGTAGTCACGGATGCCTGGCCAGGGGATGAAGTCGATGCTGACGGGGTGGGGCGCTGTGTATTGCGTCGTCGTGGGGATAAGCCAGCCGGGTAGATCGGCGAAGGACTCTTCATCTGAGCGCAAGCGCCACTGTGTGTGCCCGGGGGTTTGATTAGCGGTGGATGGTCGTGATGATGGGTGGGAGAGGCTATCTTTCATGTTTTTCATGGAGGACCTACCCGTAGAAGTCGGTAGGCAAAGAAGTAGCACCCGAATAGCGTCTCCGTAGACTTGAAGTTGTACCCGCGAAGGATGGACACCAACGAGCTTTCAATCAACGAGTTCTCAAAGCCTGACCAACCCGGAAGAGGCGGGTTGCGCGGTAGAAGGTTATGATGCAGTTGTGGCTGCTGTAATTGGCGAATGTTTCTCTCGTACAAAATGGCATGAACTTGTCGCTCCATACACTCGTTCGTCTTGGAATGCGCTATCCCGCATCGGCACTGGAACGGGGCCAGTTGTAAACTCGTGCTTGGTGATAGCAGAAGAGCATCGAGAGACCAGAGGGCGGGTTGCGAGTGATACGCCATTGGGGGGTTCTGGATACAAAGCAAGGGATTTTCGATGGCTGTTGCTGTGTATGCCGACAACGCAGGATGGGACCCGTACTCATCGGAGCTACTCGATGCAGCAGCCTGAGAAGGCGCTATTGGTGGGTAAGCGCATTGGACTTGGGTGGAGAGAAGCTCCAAAGTCTGCTGGATATTCTCGATGCCGGATTGGATGGACTGCAGCCTGGTTTTCGCCTCATATCGGTTGCTTTTTTGCTTCACACGGTCGACCAGCCTCTTCCTGTGCTGCTGCTCCTCGGTCCTGACCCGGCGTCTTGACTCATAGTCTCCTGAAGACATCGTACAGAAGGATATGGGTTGTTGGGGTTTGCTGGTTAGCGTGAGATGTTCGACGTCGATGGTCAGCAGCCTGTGCCAGGCCGGATGGGGTGGCAGAGCTATATATGTGTACGCGGTATGAATGCGGGGGTCTGGCTCCAAATCTCCTAAAGCCAGCAAGGATGCTTGCTAGTCGCTGTGCCTGATTGGTAGCATAAGTTCTACATGGGGACAGGTTGTTACCAAGAGTAGGACTAGCCTGGTTATGAGCTCTAGCTGGGGTGGCAAGCTGTCGAAGGAAAGGGACTGGTCCGCCCATTCTCTTACCAAAGGTCACGCGGGGAAGCTTGATGACTCCCACAGCCCGGCTGTCGCGTCTGAAGGAGATCGGCGGCTTCTGGCCCCTATAATTCTCCTTAAAACCGGGACGCTGTCGGATCGACACTTCTGATTTGCTACCACGTATCTCACAAAGGCTTTGTTTCACAGCTATATTTTTCGAAAGTTGGAAAAACACAGATACTTTGAGGCACATGGTAATTTCTTGACATTTAGGTATTTTGTATGGGTATGGGGTGTCTATTCGACAGCGTTCTTATTAAAACAGTGGATGGAGTGCCAGAGAGCGGTTATTCGATAGCAACGAAAGAAAGTGTATTCTTTTGCCTCTTCCATCTTGAAGCGTACAAATATCATAATCAGTGCATGTACGCGCACCCTGCACTTACTCTCCGTCTTATTTACAAAACTCCGAGTTACCCGATGCCCACTACACAAAAGGCGACCCGTCTGATTTCATTGCGTTGTACCGCACCGCCAACTCATAGGTCCGTTCAGTATCCACGACCCCCGCGTGGCATGCCGAATCAGTCCCGTTGAAGCAGTCGACGCCCTGCTGCAGCGAGTCAAGGGTCTGTGCCTTCAGGTTGTTGGCCACCGGTTGCAACAAGTCGGGGACAAGATACACAAGCGCCTCAGAAAAGTTTCTCGAAGCGCTCAGAAGGCCGGCAACATCCTGAACAACAATCGGACTGGCGTGCAGGGCGTCAAAGGCGCCCTTGCGGCCGATGAGGCTCGCGATGGAGGCGTTGACGGCGTACGCGAGGCGCTGAGACGGTGATCCGATCTTGAAGGACTGGACTTTGTCAAATGGCGTCTGGCGATGCTCCAGCAAGCGTTCGGCCGCCTCTGCAATATATGTGGTCGTGCTGACTGAGGGATCATGGATGTTACTGAGAGACGCTCGCAGATCTTTGCCGTCCCAAGCTTTGATGGCGCCAGTCAAGTTATCGGTGAGATCATGGATAGCCTCGAGCTCGTGGTAGGCGGTGCTATAGGCCTCACTGGCGTTGGAGATCGCACGACAGGCGAAGAGTGCGGTGCTTAATGCCGCTGTAGAGAATAAAAGCTTCATCTTTTGAGTGTGTTTTTCTCCAGACCGGCCGTGTCGTCGTGACGATCAGGAAATTTATAAAACGAGGTGCCTGAGCGAAAGCAGGGAATGTTGAGCTTTATCTACTAAGACCTGCATAAGCTATGTCGACGTACAGATAACTACTCCGCAAGCAAGGGAGGGGGGGTGGGGGGGGGAAGCAGCAAGGAGGCGAAGGCCTTCGAGGATATTGAATAAACACGTCTCTCATCTCATATGCTTCGGCTACGGTCATCTATTGTCTCAGCTCTAGATAAGACGATGTGGAAACTCGCCGGGAGGATGTGGGGGCTGGGGAGGAAGAACGCGGGGAGCACACATTCAGGACCAGTGTGTTCGACGTCGATATAACGTCTTTGGCTTCCGAAATTTGCTTACATTTGCTTATTGAAGCTAGCTCACCATTGGCATCGCTAGACCGAGGTTACCACAGTCCCAGCCAGCGCATGTGCCTTCCAGCAGCCGAATGAGGTTCCTCTCAGATCTGATCCCGTTGTATCAAAACTAGTGTGTTGATTTAAAGAGACAGCAAATCATGAATCTCTTACACTCTTGGTTCTTATTTTGGGCTCATAGTCTTATTCGGTCTCGCCAACTCTCAACTTACCATCATCGCTGACTTTTAACCAATCACCATCCAGAACACCATGACCGCTGAGAAAGTCGATGAAGCGAATGGGGGCAACAGCACCTATGACGGGGGCCAAAATCGCACCCGGCATGAGGGCAACAGCGAAACCCAGCCAATCCGTGTCCTTACACACGGCGTCCATGAGCATGTGCGTCATTCGATCCTTCCCTCAAGTCTATCTACGATATATGGGTTCTAACAGTCAACGATCAAAGATGAACCTCAGACTCTTCCTATCACTGGCAGCCCTATCCTTCCTCTGGGTCGGCTCGCAGATTCCACTCTATCTCTACGGCAGCGTGCTTCCCGACATCTATACGGATGTAGGCGGCTCGACAGATGGGAGATGGGTATGGATGATCATTGGCTACCTTATCCCAAACGCAGCACTATGTCCCTTCGTGGGGGCTCTTTCCGACTTGTTTGGTCGTAAATATGTCGCGGGCGTCGGTCAGATCTTCTTGGTCGTGGCGCCGGTGGTTGTATCGACGGCACATACAATCAACGTTGCTATTGGTGAGCTCCCCGCCCAGGATGCCCTGATACAGGATGACACAATGAGAGTGCTTACCATCTACTGCTCCCAGGCGGCATGGTCCTCGCCGGTCTCGGCGCAGGTCTCAACGAGCTCATCGCCCTAGCAGGAACCTCAGAGCTCGTGCCCGTGCACAAACGAGCCATGTACGTGGGCGCTGTCGTCTTCACCATCTTGCCCTTTTGCCCGTCGCCCCTATGGGCGCAACTTATCACGAAGGAGTCCAATTGGCGATTCAACGGGTTCCTGATCGGCGCTTGGAACATTATCGGCCTAGTCCTTCTCGTATTTTGTTACAAAGAGCCTGACCGTGAAAGGCGATCGCCCAAAGCCGTTCTGGGTGAGGTTGACTATATCGGCGGTTTCTTGAGCACCGTTGGCGTTGTCCTGTTCATGGTGGGCATGCAATGGGGGGCTCGCGAGGTACAGCCACCCCCTCCCGTCTTTCATTTTGTGCCTGGCTAAGCAATCGTATAGTATTCGTGGAAAAGTATTCAAGTTCTCGTTCCGTTCTTACTAGGCTCTGCGCTCATCGCCACCTTCTTCGCGTACGAGATGCGCTGGGCCAAGCACCCCATGGTCCCAGCGCACATCTTCTCTCGCGACAGGCGCACCATGATAGCCATCTTGCTAGTAACATTCCTAAGTGGTGGCAATTTCTTCGCTTTGCTCCTCTTTTGGCCCACACAAGTCTTCAACGTCTACGGAAACGATTCCGTGCAGATCGGTATTCGCACACTCCCCATCGGCTTCGGTATTATCGGGGGCTCCGTCATCAACCTCGTCCTGATCCGTGCGACAAAGGGTCGTGTGCGCATCTTGATGGTGCTTTGGTGCGTCTTCATGACGGCGTTTGTCGGTGCAATGGCTGTCGCTCGCACGGACAACCTCAAGCCGATTGTTTACTCCATCCTGACCCTGGCCTCGGTTGGCGTCGGCGCTGTCATCATTCCTTGCTCGCTGATTGCGCAAATCATCTGTCCAACCGAAATGATAGGGACAATCACGGCAATCACGCTGTCCATTCGCTACATCGGCGGTGCCATTGGCTTTGCCGCCTTCTACAATGTCTTCTTTCACAAGTACTACGAGCTTGCCAACGATGTTGCCGCCCCTCGCGTTGCTGAAGCACAGATCACACTGGACTTCTTTGAGCTCATCGCGGTTGTCAGTCTCGGCTCCAATGCTGAGTATTCGGCGCTCGAGGACCTCATCGCGGTCAGCCCCACGATCTCACACAAGGAGACGGCCTACCAGACGATTATGGAGGCCACGACTCACACTTTTGCTATTGCCTATCAGTGGCCATATTGGATATCTATCGCCTTTGGCGGCGCGTGTATAATCTGCAGTCTGTTCTTGAGGGATATCACGCAGTTCATGGAGGAGGCATTCTAAAGGAGTACAGAGTATCAGGAGTAGATAGGATTGCCCTTTGTGTCATAATACTCAGGCCTATGTCGCGGGTGAAAGGCTAGAAAGGTTAGAGAGGGACGTTGTATACAAGTGAGATCTTAAGACACCCATTTGTGCTATCGCGCAGACACTCGTGGCATGCTGATCTCCTCTCATGCCCAATGCACCTACGAGTTCAACATAATGCTCGCCCGAAGCAGTTGACGCGTAGATAAATGACCTTGGCCGTGAATTTGATTGACCACCTCATCACTGAAGCAAGGCTCCAGCCACACTATTCCAAAAGACACTCTACGGTGCATTTTACCTCGGCTTCACACGTCTACACAGCGCGTCAAGGTTGTCCCATATACCAACCATACGTATGGTTGTTCTATGTTGCGTGATGAAATTGATGTAAGTTCCTCGCCATTCAGCTCTGATATAGGGTAGGAGGAATGCACATGCGACCAGCCCCTGCGGGGGATGAATCCGCGCGGGATCCTTGGCTCGTAAGCTAAGGGACACGCGTGACCGAGGCCAACTCAAAATGAACTAGCTCGTCCATCCGTTCGACGTCGACGATGCATAAGCGCAATCCACTGTGATTGCATGGCCCGGGGTTGCAAAACCCCTGCTGCTGACAATCCGGGGTTCAAGATGGCCTACGGTGCGACTTCGACCCCAGAGATGGCTTTGTATATATAGAAAGAAATTGCCTGCCCAATTGATACGCGGGCATCCAGTCGACTCCAATATCACTCACCCTGTCTTGCCTTGCCCACGATGAAATTCTATCACGCGTTTGTCTGTGCGGTGGTTGCATGCCTACCCTTCGCTACGGCAGTGCCACTTGAAGAGAGAGGTCAACCAACGCTTCCCACGGAAGACGCCTTCTATAAGATTCCTAGCAACATTGAGGATTATGCTCCGGGTCAAATCATCGACTCGCGTAGACCTCCGTACCCCATCGCATCATTCGGAGTCTCGCCTGTCAACCTTGCAGACTCGTGGCAAATTCTCTATAGAACCAACGACAACTTCAACAGTGCTACGGCAACGGTCTTGACGGTCCTCGTCCCCCACAATGCCGACTACACGAAGGTGCTCTCGTACCAGGTTGCACAGGACTCAGCATACGCAAACTGTGCTCCCTCCTACGCATTTCAACTCAAGTCGGCCACAGGAGGTCTCTTGGGGACCATCCTCTCCCAGGCGGAGCTGTTGCTGATGCAAGCTGCCCTCGAGCAAGGCTGGATCGTCATTTCTCCCGACCATGAAGGCCCCAGAGCTGCCTACCTGGCCAACAAGCTGGCAGGGTATGCCACCTTGGATGGTATCCGTGCCGCACTGAATTCTGCAAGCTTCACGGGGATCTCACAGCGTCCCACCATCAGCCTTTGGGGATACTCGGGCGGGGCCATCGCTTCTGCTGCTGCGGCAGAGCTACAGCCATCTTATGCTCCGGAGCTTCGCATCGCCGGCGCGGCGGTAGGCGGGGTTGTGCCTAATATCACGACCACCATTGCCGGCATCAACAAACGGACAGTCGCCGGCTTGATCCCTGCGGGCGTACTTGGTATTGCGAGCCAGTACCCCGAAGTTACTACGCTACTGGAGAATGAGATCCGCCCTGAATACAAAGCGGCATTTGCGGATGCTGCAAGCCAATGTTTCACGGCCAACGTACTCCAATTCGCGTTCAAGGATGTGATTGGCATGTTCAAGGACCCAACTATCCTCTACCGCGATCAGGCGAAGCGGATCATTGACGAGAACGCATTGGGACAGGCTATACCTCAAATTCCAATGTACATGTATAAGTCTGTCCGAGATGAAGTCAGCCCCGTCGAGGAGACTGATGCATTGGTGAGAAACTACTGCGCGGGAGGAGCCAGAGTCAAATATGACCGTGATTTGCTGTCCGACCATGGCTCACTCGCTCTGCTCGGTGTCGGCAAATCACTTGTATGGCTCAAGGATATCATGAACGGTGGACCAGGTCCAGTACAGTGTTCTACTTCAACGTTGATTTCCTCGCTTCTGGACCTCAAGGGCACCAAATTGCTGTCTAAGACTCTCCTAGAGGCATTTCTAAACTTGCTTGGTTCTCCTGTCGGACCGCCGTAGCTTCACTAGAGATTAGTAGATGCTTTATATTCAATGAGAGGCTACCTGAGTTTGCTAGACATGTCGTCTCTTTTCCGTACATCCTCTGAACCAGAAATATTAGTAAACTTTCAGCCCTTCAGAGCGTTCCTACCTGCTTTGCTACACGCCAAAGACACATGGATACGACGTAGTATGAATCCACTAAAACAATCCGGTCTTCCTCACGATGTTGTGATCTTGGGACCCATCCCCGCCAGCATCCTGCGTGGTTCAAATTTGCGGCCGGGGGTTGGTATGGAAGGCCTGTGACGTTGAGGCTTTCCGTCCGACATCGATCCGGCAGCGTTCGCTGGGCAAAAGTCCCATAGGTGGCGCTAGACCGGAAGCCAAAAAGGCGAATCATATGTAGTCTGGGGTATCAGCCGAGGCCAACTCATCCTTGGGAGCAACATGTGCTCAGCATAGAGTGTGTGCTCAGGCTATGCACGAGGAACAAATCACGACCTCATGGGGTTGGGAATTTCATCACAGCGCGCGGAGCCATGAGCACTAGCACCCGGACTCTCCATAAAAACCTCAGCTTCGACGTCGACCCGGGGTCGAGTGAGATTTAGTCGGAAGCTAGTACGCGGGGTGCATTGTGGTCCAGAACCCACCACTCGATCGCAGGATCATAGCTCCTATGCTACAGCGGATGTCATTCTCACAGTATACGAAACCTTGAGTACATAACTCATCCAAGCCCATCGCCTTCTTCATGAGTCCTCATTGCAATCAACTCCAGTTTCGCGTTCTCAACCCCATTCCAATGCGTCTCCCGTCCTTCCTCGTCACTTTCGCTGCTTCGGCAGCAACTGCAAGCCCCCTCACTCCTCGCGCGATTGATTCGAAACTAATTTCCTCCACCAACGACTTCAGCTGCCGGAGCACCAAGTATCCTAACCCCGTCATAGCCCTCCATGGCCTGTTCGCAACTGCGAACTCAGACCTCAACTTTCTTGAAGCCTGGCTCCGGCCCCAAGGCTTCTGCACCTTCTCGCTGACCTATGGCCAGTACCCCCTCATTCCTTTGGGCGGACTCAAAGCCGTAAGCGAGTCCTCTGTCGAGATCGCCGACTTCATCAAGAACGTGCTGGACAAGACTGGTGCACCAAAGGTCGATATTGTCGGCCACTCCGAGGGAGGACTGCAGTCTCTGTACTTGCCCAAGTTCGCTGCCATCGCCGATCGAGTCGACAAGATCATCGCCATTGCTCCCCCAACGCACGGGACCGACTCTTCCGGTCTGGTCGCCCTTGCCGATACACTTGGCATCAGGCCGCTTGTGAACGAAGTGCTGGACAAAATCGGCTGCGACGCGTGCAATGATATGATACCTGGCGGGCCTGCCGTCATGAAGCTGAACTCCGGAGCTGTGGTCCAGCCCGGCAACAAGGTGACCGTCATCGCCTCTCGCAACGATCGTACGGTTGTCCCGCCGTCGAGTGCTTTTGTCAAAGAAACTGGTGTCAGCAACATCTTTGTGCAAGATTACTGTCCTCTTGACTTGGTTGGCCACGTCAGCCTGGCCATTGATCTCAATGTGTGGAACTTGGTCCTCAACTCTCTCGAGAACAGAATCGGTCGCAAGTTTCCTTGCGTCATCTCATTCCCTTTCTGAGCACTTCGAGTTGGGGGTGCCAAGAAGGGAATCATCGTCTGGTACAAATGAGGCAGGGGCTGAAATATCAAGTTTACGCATGGATCGTCCAGAGGAGAAGGAAGATATATATGAGCACCCTGTTATTTCACTTTTGATAATACCTCGGAGAGTAGGAGTGATTGTGTCACATTTGGCATCGCTGTGGGATAATTGAGGAGGTCTTTTGAATTGAAAGGGATAGCTGTTACCCGAGAAGCCCTTCTTGCTTTCTAGTCATCATTGCTTTACTACGGGGATGGCTCATACTCACCCATTCCTTATCGCACACATCATGTTAGACGCTGGAATAGTTGTTCTATGGAGTACATTTGCCTGAGCTCTATGGCACCCTTGACGCCATCATATTCGTTGATGTGACACAAGCCTTTGGTGGCGACGTTTAGTTCGATGACGAAACTTTGGGGAATTACTCGGCCCAGTGACTTGTTCCGCCGCTCTTCTTCTCGACTGTTCGAAACGAGATGCGGACATTATGTGAAGCAAGTTGCCCATGTACTGGGTTCAGATACAAGCCATGTCTTCAGCTGAATTCATTTAATACTGCCTACTTATTCCAGACACATCCGGAGCTACGTAGTCTCGTAGTCTCAGTGAGAGCGTTAATTTCGCTCATGGTGCTTTCCCATAACCAAAGAAACAACCCAACTCTGCTTCCCAGCACCACCAAAACCATGACACAGGGTGCGCTCTATGATATTGCTCATCGCAAACTTCGAGGGTCTGAGAAAGACTGGCATCTGGTCATTAGATCAACCTGTGGCTACGTCTTCTATTGTTATATCTGCCCCACCAGGTTCATACGATCTCCTAGCATCATGCAACAATATTTCAGGTGTCTGGAGGTAAATAAGTACAGCGAAGGAGGATTCGATCTCAGCGAGGTGGATGCGCATGACTGGGTGCTTAGAGCTTTTAAGCCCTTGATTCTTCCACTAATAGCATCCTCGGATCCCTCCGTCGTCGAGAGACCAACTCTGGCTCAATACCTATCCCCCCAACAGTGCTTTGTCTGCACCCTCGCTGCCGTGGATGATGAGCTGCAGCCCAAGCAGCTTGACACCAAGGAACCTGGCTGGGTGCCTCCCCTCGTTAGGGTGAACAGCGACTTTCTAGCCGAGCTTGATCGGTCGACTCGATGCTTTGCTCCATCTGGGGTTCAACTATGCTACGATCGGCCCGAAGATACCTTGATCAAACTCCCTAGGCGCGTCATTATAAAGGACCACGATGGCCAGCATGTCGACTGCTTCTACAGGAGTTTCAAATACATATACCACCGGGCGCTCGCAAAGAAGCAAATTAATGTGCTGAAGAAAGTAATCCAGGCCCAGATACCCCCTTCTCCGGGGACATACATCTGCCGCCTGCACGGCGTCGTCATGGAGGCCGATCGCGTTGTAGGAATGCTGTTCACCTGGATTGACGACAAGGGTGTGCTTTCGGTGGCCATGGCCGCCAAAAGCTCTCCTGAACTGAGACAACGCTGGGCGGCGCAGAATAGTAGGTCACTAGGCACGCTGCATAGCAATGGCGTTATATGGGGCGTTGCTAGCGCAGAGAGCGTCTTGATAGACGAGGATGACAACGCTTGGATCACAGATTTTGAGGGCGGCTTGACAATGTCGGGGGTTGGTTGGTACAAGCCCTGGACAGTGGAAGAGGATAGGCAGGGTTTGGCGGAGATCATAGATATCCTTAATTGACGGCAACCAACGAGATTATTCAACTGAGAGAAAATCGGGATAGTTCAAAAGCACCTACGGGGTGAATGGAGCTAATGTATCTATTTGTTTTGTAACTCAAAATAGGCTTTCATAGCTGCACTAGTACCCGTCCGGCACTGCGAAGGGCTTCTGGTGTTCACGTTTTAATTCTGAACGGCCCGGCTGGATGTAGATGCCACGGCCATTAACTGGAGATCGCCTAATACTTCAGGAGGAGGAATAAGTTCTCATGTATTCATTGCACCGGTAGCCAACGCCTCGATAAAGGGATACTGGGCTATGCCCTCAACGCCAATAGATAATACAGGCTTTATTCTGTCACGCAGCAATTAGCTTTCTAGACTGGCTGGTTGTGGTGGTAAACGCCGTGGGCTCACCAAGCCGCCTTTAATGGTGAGTATCAAAGGCATAGGCGGTTAGACTTTCGCGAAGTCTCAAATAGGTGAGTCACGGTCGTAAAATTCATATCAAAGCTTGGGTATGGAGTTTGTTTAAGGAAAAGTGACTCACAATGTGCCCGTGTTATACGCATCTGTGTCCTGGCGACTGCCTACAATCTACCTGATGTGGTGGTGATATATTAAAAAACTGCTTAAAAACTTAGAAGCATATTTAAGGTCAATTGTCTCTTTATGTCCTCTTATTCCTTAATCCCAGCTTCAAAAGATTATACATCCATGGCCTTTTACCTTTACCTCTCTTTAGTATGCTTCGTGTGGTTGTATTATTAGTTGCCTGATTCCCGTCTCCCCAATGTCCTAGTAACTGTTCAAATAGAGTAGAGTTTCCAAGAGCTCCGCCGAAAATGTTCAGAAGAGAACCTTGGTCTACTCCCAGTAGGCCACCAATAACATCGCTTAACAGACTGACGACCGGGACTGTGAACCCGATATGCTTCTGGTTCAGAACTCCTTCAATGTACTTAATGTGCTGGCCGTTGACAATAGTTGAGTTTCCAGTGGCGTTGAATTTGAAGTAGCCATTGCTTAGCCACTCTTTCTGGCTATCAAGGACCTCTGACAGATTCGGTACCAGCTCGTCAAAGAAGAAATTCCCGTCAAATGGCACAGTGTTGTTTCCGGGCCTTAGTTGAACGTCGTATAAATGAACCAGGCCGAGTCTGGTTGGCCCGGACTCCAAATTGAATGTCAAGTTACCTAGTCCAAGTGAGAGCGCTCCAGAATTTGGGATGTTGAGATTGCCTTTCATATTGAACTTTGTGTCATTTGACCTGAGCATGAAATCCAGGTCCACGAGCCCGAAACCGTCCAGATAATTTAGGGATGGCACCTCGATGGCCTTGTCAAGGTGGCGTTTGTAGCTCAGAATACCGAGGAAAATGTTTGGGTCTCCCTTGAGAGATAGCTCCACTTTGGGCCGGTCAAAGAACTGATTGAACCAAATGAGGAGTTCAGTTTCATTGGTCACCAATAGAGTCTGGTTCGTCACGATAACGTCCGTTCGATGATTGATGTGCAGCTCTGGGAGACGAAGCTTGAAGAATGGAGAGACAGGGTTCGTTTCCTTGTTATACAGGTAGAGGTCCACAGGGTCAAGTTTCACTCCCAGCGGCGTGTTTAGAGACGTGAGAAGGCTCATGTTAACGTGCGTTGGCGAAAGCGCCTGGAGAGCGCCGCCGTCTATTGGCAGCTTCTGGCCATTGAGGATGTTCTGAATTATAGCTGGAATAATAACCTTGAATCTAGTGTGGCTCGCGGTTAGAGAATGCCCCTAATAGGCTATTGGCCTGTGGCTTTCGGACTTACAGTAACGGGAGTAGAATGGCGAGCAAAATAATAAATGCCAACAGGTACCACCACTTCCAGCGCTTGAAATGCCGCTTGGCCTTTTCTCTTTTGCTATTGACTGGACTAGCCTTCTTGTCAGGAGCATGGTCTTCGAGTGAAGCCTCATAACTCTGAGTGTCCTGATCCGGAGCGCTATGTATGCTACCTCTCCTCTGCCCAGGTGAAGAACGCCCGCCTGCGGCAGTGCTCTCCTTCTCTGTCATTTTGAATGGACTCTACACCTCGCAAAGGACAACAGTGAATTATGTTCTTTGAAGTGGCGACAAAAACCTATAATGCCGAGGGGTGATGAGTTGAAAGATGAAAAATAGAGAGCAAGAGCAAGGATAAGTAGGTAGTGGGCCGTGCTGACTCCCCACCAAATACTAGGTGAAAAGAAAACACTACTCATCCTCACAATTACACTAACTTTACAAGGATAATGAAGGGCTTCATTTAGTAGGTCCACCTTTGCACATCCTGGGGGCGGAAAAGATCCGCGGATCACTGTGCGGGGTTCCCGCGCTAATGAACAGGGGAATCAGATACGAAAGCTGATCACAAGACTCCAGACCTAAACGAGTGTGATAAACCTGAGCTACCACAAAGCCTCCTCACTCCATCACATGCTGGTGCCGGAAGCCGTGGCCAAGAAACCTGCTGCAAGAGCCCCAAAAAGTTTAGCTTGCGAGTTATTGCAACCCAGCTTTCTTCGTACAAACCGAGGCATCGACCCATAGTAAATCATTCAAGCCAAATCAACTCCTCTAGCCAACGTTTCCAGATAGGCGCTGAGCTATTCGATAACACTGTTTTTATCATCAACTTCTAACTCCTGAAAGGCACGACGCTGTCAATCACATATATTTCATCTATTGTAAAATGCCAGGCTTTTGTTCAAAGGTGAAGCACGGGTCTAGGGTAATATATTCAAACACATAGATATGTGTCAAATAAACACTTATCAAACACTATTAATTTGCCTTAGGGGTATCGTGTACTAAATATATCGCATCCATATTAATAAACTGCTCATTGTGCTTTGTCCATATCGTCACATCATTATAGTCACTGTTTCCTCCTATACTAATATTATGTTTTGCCCATCAACTGCTTAAGCACGGCATGGACAAGATCCGCCACAGTCGCGACAAGCTAGAGAAGTCAGTGAGTCGAAGATCGAATCCAAAATAGCATGACTGTACTTACAGGTGTCGCGTCCTCAATGAGCTCTCCCACTTGAGACACAAACGTCTGACTCAGAAGGGATTCAGCATTGCCGAGAAGGCCAATGATGCCGTTGATTGATTCCTCGGTGAGCAAGGGGCTCACGGCATTTAGCAAACTGGCGAGATTCAACTTGCCGATCTCCTCGAGGAGAGGGCCAGCCTGGCTAAGTAGCTCGGCCAGGCCAGCATCACTCAGACTGGCAAGAAGTGGCGAGGCATTTGAGATTAGAGACTTCGTTTCTGAAACGAAATCTTTGGTGAGAAGATCTTCAGCATTGCCGAGAAGGCCAATAATGCCAGTAATTGATTCCTCCGTAAGCAGCGGGCGCACGGCGCTCAGCAAACTGGCGAGATCCAATTTGCTGATCTCATTCAACAGTGGGCCAGCTTGATCAAGCAAGCCCTGGAGGCCAGCCTTATCGAGACCTTCTAGAAGCGCGACGGCCTTTGAAATGAGGGATTTGACTTGAGATACAAAGTCTGCTGCCAAGAGATTTTCGGCATTGCCAAGAAGGGTTACCAAACCTTTGATCGAGTCTTTAGTCAGGAGTGGCGCTAATGCCTCAAGAATTCCCTGAAGGTCGAGACCGCCTAAGCTGGCGATAAGCGGATTTGCATTTGTCAGGAGAGACTTAATGCTCTTGACAACATCTTCTGTCAGCAAAGACTCGGCGTTCTCCAGGAGCTTCAATAGGCCATTGATAGAATCCTTGGTCAGGAGGGGCGACAGGGCGCTCAACACTCCCTGAAGGTCGATGTCTGAAAGGCTGTTGATCAACGGAGAAGCGCTTGTAAGTAGTGACTTGATGCTCTCGACCACATCCTTTGTTAACAAAGACTCGGCATTTTCCAAGAGCTCAACAATGCCTTGAATAGAGGTCTTGGTTAAAATTGGTCCAAGGGCATCGAGGACTCCCGCTAGATCAATGTCAGAGAGCTTATCAATCAATGGCGCAGCGCTTGACAGCAGCGACTTGATGCTCTCGACCACATCTTTTGTTAACAAAGACTCGGCATTTGCCAAGAGCTCAACAATGCCTTGAATAGAGGTCTTGGTTAAGATTGGTCCAAGGGCATCGAGGACCCCTGTCAGATCAATTTCAGAGAGCTTATCGATCAATGGCGCAGCTTTGGACAGTAGTGACTTGACGCTCTCGACGATGTCTTTCGTTAAGAGTGACTCTGCATTCTTCAAAAGCCCCACCAGCCCCTGTATATTCTCCTTACTAAGGATAGGGCTCAAGGCATCCAATACTCCCTCAATGTCAATGCCAGACAGCTTATTAAGCAATGGCGAAGCGCTACCGATAAGGGCTTGCGTTTCGTTGACAAATTTGGGCGTCAAGAGGCCCTCTGCGTTTTTCAGTAGGCTCGCAATACCGTCAATCGAGTCTCCTGTGAGAAGTGGCTTCACTGCTGTCAGGATTTCTTCAAGATTTAATTTGACGAGCTCTTTTAGGAACGGAGAAAGATCTGAGAGTAGGGGTGCAATGTCTTTGATGAGTTTTTGGATCTCATCGACGAAATCCGCTGTCAGGAGATCGCCGGCATTCTTCACCAGGCTCACAATTCCCTTGACTGAGTCCTCGGTAAGTAGTGGCTGAAGTGCTTGCAAAAGTCCCTCAAGGTCAAGCTTCGTAAGTTCTTTCAAGAGTGGTGAGATATCGCCGAGAATAGGGCCAACGTTCTCGATGAGGGATTGTGTTTGGTTGACAAAGTTAGGTGACAGTAGGGCTCCAGCATTCTTGACTAAGGAAACAATATCCTCGATTGAGTCTTTCTTGAGCAACGGATCTAACGCATCAAGCACCCCTTCGAGATCAAGGCCTGTAAGCTTTTGAAGTAAAGGCTTTAGGTCGCCTAGCAGAGGTGATACATCGGCAACAAGCGACTGAGTCTGGTTGACAAAGGTGGGCGAGAGCAAGGTCTGCGCGCTGTCGACCAGCTCAACAACGCCTTCAAT